ACTATCCCCCCCTCAAGCAATAGCCATTGCCTTCTAGAAACCCAAAACTAATGAACTTTTTTTTTTTTTTTTTTAAAGTGGAATGAATTCTCAGTTCTACTTTTTCGGCAGGAAAAGCCGGGTTACTTTAAGTAAATTCAACAGTCCACAGCCTTTGTGCTCTCCTGGATCATGTGAGGAGTGGCAGATTTCTGTTTAATTGGATAGGACTTCAGACATACTGAATAATTATGAATGCCCTGCAGATCAGAATCTCCCCAAAAAGAGGCAGGTGTGGTGAAAACCTTGCAGGTTTGAAGCTGGGCAGTGCAAATTCCCTGCTTGGGGCCGACCTTTCTGTAAATGCAGGATCATCTCAGATCAGTGGTTCTTACTCCAAGCTGGAGGGCAGAATTCTTGTGAGTCTACAGGCTGAGGTTTGTCAGGTGACTCCCAAGGGCAACTAGACTAGAAAAGTCCTGTGTTAGAATGTATTTCATTTCCCACTGTGGCCTAAGAGCAGCAGTTTACAGTGACACAATCTACTTTTATTTTATGTAAATACTTATAAACTTAACTATTAAGTTATTCACTCAGGGATATTTACTCCAAGATAGAAAAAGACGCTTCTATTGTTATAAGACTAATTGATTAAACAATCAAGCAAATGAAACAAAAACTCTTCAAGCATGTAAACACTCTCATCTCATAAATTCAATAATATAAGATATACAAAATCCTGTAGGCAAATGTTGAAAATTATATGTGAGTAAAAGACAATACATTTCCAAGTAATTGTATATAGAATTTTAAACAAGCTTTAAAGCAAATTCACACAGGCAGGAAGATCAAGCAGAGAAATGGGGCCTTTCTGTATAGAGTTCTTTTGGGTGACCTTTCTCATAAAATAGCTAACAAAAGCAACTTACGGACAAGTTTGCTGTGGTTCACAGTGTGAAGGTACAGCTCATCATGGGAAGAAAGGACAGGACACAGGACATAGAGAGATGAACAGTGGTGTTCTGCTCTCCTTCTCCTTTTCTTTCAGTTCATGATCTCAGCCCAAGATGTGGTGCCATCCATATTTTGGGCATGTCTTTTTACCTCAGGGAAGCCAATCTATAATACCCAGACATAGGTGCCTACACACTTGTCTCCTAGGTAACTGTAGATCTGTTGACAATATCTACCACCACAGAGGTAGTATCAGAAACTTAGGGCAAAAGCAACTCTTGATAACAGTGGTCTAATTCAGGAGGAAATGGAGGATCTTGGTGACAAGTTGGGGAAAAAGCACGTAGCTATGAAGGAAGGCCTTACTCTGAGAAAACAGAAACAGTCATGGACTACAGGGAAAAGCAAAGTGTCAAGGAACTTGGGGTTTAAGAAAGAGAGGACCATCCCTGTCATTTCCCAGGATATGTAAGAACAATTTGTCAGCATAGTCATGGATGTAAGGAAGTTGTATAGAATGTAAGCATCACTGTACTCACACTAATTCACATAGAAGAGATCAGAACTGAGCATCAGGGAACCAAGGACTGTGCAGTCAGTAGGAAAGGGCACCAGGGTATCAGTATGGAATCGACAGGGACTGTCTTCCACATACATAATATGGAAAGGCCATTAGGGCATCAGGATGTACTCTACAGGAATCATCCTCTGGGTATAATATTGGCACTGCTCAGAGGATTATCAGATCTAGTGTCTTTATTCATGTTTCATGTTCTTCTTAAAATACTGTTTACATAGTTCTTGTGTACAGTGCTTGTAAGCTATGGGAAAAGCATGATATCTTGGCATTAGATGACTATATTTCATTTTTAAATTTTCTTAAAATAATGATTTATTTACTTCGACTTTACATGCATTGTTTTTTTTTCCATAAATATGTCCATGTGAGGGTGTTGGATCCCCTGGAACTGGAGCTACAGACAGTTGCCAGCTGTCACTTAGGTGCTGGAAATTGAAACTGAGTCCTTTGGAAGAGCTGAGCCATCTCTCCAGACCCTATATTTCCTTTTACATATGCAGTTTTTTTTTTAACATATGCAGTTTTTGTGATGATGAAACCATTAAATTTGGTTAGCATATATAGGTAAATTAAATTTTGGCTCCCAATGACATTTATGCTCTGCCATAATGTCTATGCATGTAACACTACAGAACTGAATAGAATCAAAGTTGCCAATTGACTTCACCATAGCAAACTTTTCCTGGGTTATCTGAGTGGAAGGGGAAGCGGTGAAGGAAGGCAGAGGGTTGTTCAGAGAGGGAAATTCCAGAAGAGGCAGGAGAGTTGGGATGATGAGCAAGCATCAGCCCACAGTTCCTGGCCTTGAAGATGGAGCAAGGGGGCTCAGAGCCAAAGCACACAGCTGATAACACTGTAAAAAAATAACCACGAGGGACCGAGTCCTGCCAACAACCCACTGCAAGAAACACATTCTGTCTTCGGTCCTTGGAAGGAATACAGCCTGACATGAAAGCTCTGACCTAGATAAGTGTAAGAGAATATATATGTGTTTTATTAAACCACTACATTTGTAGCAATTTGTTGCAGCAGCAATGGAAAACAAAATGGCAAAAATGTACTGCCTTTATTATTATTTGAATCAAAGCTTATCCACTGTTGGATTGACTGGGTATCTAATTTTTGGCATTATTGAGGCTCTTGCTTGACATGGGCCCCTCTTCCTCTTACAGCAGTGGTAGGATATTAAGGCTTTTTGAACAAATTAAACAAGAGTTTAAGAAATGTAAAATTCTTATTATCTGCATAAATGAACACCTAACTGCCTCATCCTGCCGCTAAGTGTTTCTTTTTAAAAGACATTTTATTTCCCGTCTTAGTTGCTGTTCTATTGCTATGGAGAGACACCATGGCTAAGGCAACTCTTAAAAAGGAAAGCCTGCTCACCGTTTCAGAGGTTTGGTCCATTAGCAGCATGGCACGAAGCATGGCTGCTGCATCCCTGGCGCTAGAGCAGTAGCTCAGAGGGCTGACCCTGGTCCACAGGCCTCAGGAAGACAGAGACCCGAGCCTGGCGAGCCTGGCGTGGGCTTTTGAAACCTCAAAGCCAACCCCCAGTGAAACACTTCCACCAGCAAGGCCACACCTCCTAATCCTTCTCAAATAGTGCCACTCCCCGATGACTAAACATCCAAATCTATGAGCCTATGGGGGCCATTCCTCCTCAAACCACCACTTCCCTTCCTTAGTCCCAGGCTACCCCAGGCAGGTTATTGCTTGTGTTCCCTTTGTGTCCTCCAAGGTGGCAACTACACCTGGGTTCCCTCTGGCTATTCTAGGTCAGAGTTTGAAAGTACGGGCATAAGGGTGTGTATCCCACTTCCCAGAGGGCAACAGGCACCTGTTTTTGATTGTCTACCCCACATACAAAAGATCTGGTAATTAGCCTGTTTTGTTTCAGAGTGTTGCTGGTTGGGTCCCAGGTCTAGCCCATGCAAAGGACACGTGTCTGGTGCCACTATGCAAGCCTCTCAGAGGTTTATGTATTTCTTTATTAACTCTTTAGTTTTTTATTCTAGTCAACCTCTGGGAAAATGAACTTGTAGAGATGCTTCTTTCAAAAACAAAGATGAAGCAGGACTTCTATGTGGCGATGGGAATAACCTACACAAGAAACATGGAAACCTGAACAGGGCAATGTGATTCAGACGAATGACTCTGAAGGTCAGAGTCAGTGATCTGGTGTGGGTTTACTGAGAAAGCCAATGGTTGTTAGCTCTCATCTGTTTTCTCACCAGGTTTGACAGTGTAGAACCCCCCACCCCCACCTACTAAAGCTTTCCCTGTCTTGAGAGAGGAGGAGTGTCCTTTGCTTTAAACATAGTCAACAGAGAATTTAATTTGGCAGTTAAAAATAGCTGGTCCTCCAATCTATTCCTGTGGCTAGGATTTCTTTACTCCTTCCTACAGTTTCTTGGTTTCATTCATTTCCTAATTTTAACACACATGTGTGCCAGTTTGTTTCTTACCCTACAATCCATTCACTAGGTGGGCTCTTTCCCTTCTTTTAAAACTATTCCCCCCCAAAAAAAAAGGGTACTTTTTTCAGGGGGGAAGAATTGAGAGTACATTAAAATACAGTCCTGTGTACTACTTATCAATTTGATTTTTAGGTGATTGGAAATGGAAAAATCTAACGTTTAAATAAATGATAAGAGATACAAAACTTACTTGTTTTTACTGTTTACGTCTAGTCTATTAAGTCATAAGTAGACTAACAGGGCAGTTATTACTGCAAAACAGCTCGGAGGACTGATGAAAACGTTTTGTTGTTGTTTAAATGTATAGTGTTAGAGTTAACATTAATAAGCTTTGACAAATCCAATCACTCATTTTCTGCAAGCAACATTTCTACTTTCGGTTTGGCTTTTAAAAGCTGAGCTACCAGGCTTTCTCCTGTAAGTAGATGTTGTGAGAACTTCCTTAAGGTAGTGCTTGTTCGTGGTGTTTTCTCAACCACACAAGGTGTACTGTAGTCATTGTTTGGCTTGGGGAGTTAAACACACCACTCAACAATCATTTGGCGTCAAATGTGAGATGGTAGTATGCCCGACGGCTAGGAGAACACTTAGGCAGGTCAGGCCCTGGGCACAGGAGGTCACACTCACAGGAGCAGTCCTTGGACCAGTTTGCAGCGGTTGCAACCGCTCCTCTGCAGCTTTTAGCCATTAAGGGCGCGAGATGCCGCAGGGCTGAGCACGCACACGTCCTAGAACTCGGCACAGCCGCCTAGCATTCCACGTTATCCTCTAAGTACGGAGAACTGCGCTGAGGTCCAGCGTCCGAGTGCCTTCTGGAGACAAGACTCCTTTCCTCGTCCCACCGAACCTAGCACCTGCGTAGCCACATTGCCACGCCTTCTTCCTGCCTATAGGCAAGGCATTCCACACTGACCAATGGGCTCCTCTCTTTCTGCAACGGGGCGGGACCTTACGTGGGTCTGAGGCCCGCCCGTTACGTGAAGTGCGTGCGTGGCGAGGATCGCTTTCTTCAGCGCGTGGCGCCCCCCGGCGGCGGCGCTCCCTCAATGCGGCGGCCTGATTAACGCCAGCCATGGAGCCGCAGGAAGAGGCGCGAACGCCCGGGGAGTCCCTGTCTCGGCCTCCTGGGGCCTCGGGGTCGCCGACGCCGGACGAAGAGGAGCGGCCGGAGGGCAGCGACGCGCAGGGAGCGGCTCCCGCGGGCGCCGAGGGGGACAGCGCGGGCGCGGACGGGCTGTGGGGTCTGCCGGTGGAGCACGCTGAGCGCAGGCCCGAGTGCAGCCGCTGCAGGTGAGCGCGGGGCTGGGGCGGAGCTGCGGCGCCCTCTGCCGGCCAGGCGGACCCTGCGGTGCCTGCCACAGCAAGAAGCCTTTCATCCCATTATTATTTAACCTGACATTCTGCAAGACTTAGGGTTTTTTCTTTTTGTTTGTTTTGTTTAGTTTTTTTGTTTGTTTGGTTTCATTTGGTTTTTCGAGACAGGTTTTCCTTTGTAACAGAACCGTAGCTGTCCTGGAACTCGCTTGGTAGATCAGGCTGGCCTCGAAGTCACGGAGATCAGCCTGCCTCTGCCTCCTGAGTGCTGGGTTTAGACTCATGCACCACAAAGTCACGCAAGAAGATAGTTGTTTTCCCAAGAAATTTAAGAGCCTTTAATATAAGGAACTCTCGAGGCGTAAGGACATTAATACTTAATGATGCTTCAGTGGGCTCGCCATCATCAAATGAGTCAGAGGAGAGGAACAAAGCGGCTCTTTGTATTGAGAATTTTGAATTTATTTTAGCAGTGGTCACTGAAAACCGGGTTTGTTATCCGAGCTCCTGGGAAGTAGAGGCAAAAAGGTTCGAAGGCAAGGTTATTCTCGGCTATCTAGCAAGTTGGAGGATAGCCAGACCTTGTGTGTGTGTGTGTGTGTGTGTGTGTGTGTGTGTGTGTGTGTGGGAACGAATTGCTGTGTGTCTGCTGTCTGCTGATAGTTCTAGGAACTAGAAATGCAGTGATGAAAAAATAAATTATGGGCTCATTGCTAACTGGGTTCTTATAGGCTCATGTGGAGAGTTTCTTGGATGGACAATGGCAACCAGTGCTGACTGTTCACAACGTACCTGGTTGTTCTTTGGGGGGCACCACAGGGAAATGGTGTGCTCCAGCTGTGTGATTTTTTTTCCCTCCTGCATATTTAATCTCAGAATTTTAGAAACACCACTCTTATGCTCTTGGACTGAAGGTCTTCATCTGTGGTGCCCTTTTTAATTAGTAGATACTGGTCAGCCTTGCCTTATTTTGGTACATAAGGTGTTCAGTTTAGAAGGAAAACATTTATTTGGGTTTAGGGTTTCAGAGTTTGCAGCCCATAGCTTGGTTAGTTGTGTTGGGTCTGCAGTGCTGCATAGGTACATAATAAAGGAGGCCTATAGAAAGCGACCACTGCCACTTGGTCTCACCTCTTCCCAGCAATGCCATAAGCTGACATATGGACACTTGGAAGATGTATGTGTGTGTGGGGGGGGGTGGGGGGGAATAAAGAATTTTAAGCATAGATATTAAAAGCCATTGGAAGCATAGACTATGAGGTCTTTAAAAAAATCACACCATTTGTAATGAAAATGTCCTTGTGACAAGAATAAATCAAACTTCTTGTTTCATGTGTTAATCCCAGCTAGACAAGTGAGCTGCTGTGCTTGCCCAGTCAGTGATAAATGTTGAAAAAAGATTACCATTTACTATCAAGCAAAATCCATGCACAGATATCGCAAGACAAAATGGGGAATTTGAACTGAAGTCACCACCCACCAAAGCCATTGCTCGTTCTGTGCTCAAAAAGGCTGCATATCCCTTGGGCCAGCATTTTCTTTTGGTCCTGTCCATTCCCAATGAAAACCCTGCCTCTTGGAACAAAACTCCTCTCAGTTCTCTAGTGGACCAATGACAAAATTCCTATAATAGTCTTTAATGAAAAAAAAAAAAAATAGAACCTTTCTTCCATCCAGATGGCTGCGAATTGGAGGTGATGTAGCCTGGTGATCTGTGTTATCATCGGGTCAGACAATAGCAAGCTCCCACAACCAGGACCACAGGTGGCTAGTAATCTAAATGACCCTTAAAGCCAGAGACTCCCCAAGCTTCCACAACTGGCTCAAATGACCTCTACATTATGACTGAGACTGAGCCAGACCCTTCTTTAGGCCCTTAAGCTAGTACAGGTAGCTTCTCTCTAGAACCCATCTTCTTGGAAGAAATGGCATGTGTACTCTGAGTCAAGTTTCGAAGTAATTACACTTCTTTGTGCACCGGGGTTGTATTACATCAGGAAACCTTTCCCCAAATTATACTGTGTTTAAAGTTGTTTGGAATAAGCCACCTGGCATTAGGCTCCCCACAGTCTTGATCCAGGTTGATGAAGTCATTCTAAGCCAAGTTGTCATTTTCACCTCTTGGCAGTTTGCTTTCCTGCCTGCAGAGACCCCTTCACTTGTTCAAGTTCTCTTCTCCTTCAGACTCTTACACACTTCCCACTGGTGATTTTCCCCAGTTCCCTGGTAGTTTAATATCTTCTTTACCTTGGACCTTTCTCCTGAGCCCCAGACCCATGCACTTGCCTATTACTTCCTGAGTACTCTGTAATCAGTGACAATACGGTGACATAAATTCCTTTTCTTACTAGATGGAGCTAATAAACCAGCAAGCGAGTGAACTATAGACTAGGGGGCAGGCAATGATGGAAAGGAATTAGGATGGTGGGCTAAACAATCTAGTTGAAATGGTGTCAGGAAAGCTCTCTTGGGTGAGTGACAAGGTAGGTGCATTTACTACTTGAGCACTTGGGATACTTTATCTTGCACGTTTTGACCTTCTGCCAGGGGTCAGATTGTATGAACTCAGAGGCTGGATCCTATTTGTAGGATACCTTGTTTTCTGGATGCACTGCCGTAGTGTGGCTTTACAGTGTATGGCCTCTTGTGCTCTCTTGCCAGGCTGGTCAGCAGCTGTGAGCTGCAGTTCTGTTAATCCTCATCCCCACTAGTACTCTTCATTGTAGTGTGTTGCTAAGTTATATCACCTGTTACATGTATCCGGTACATTTCAGCTTAATAGTTTCAATTCCATCCCCTCCCTTACTCCTTCTTTTCAGCATGGTTTCATGTAGCACAGCTGGTTCCCAACATCCTCTATAGCCTAGCGTGTCTTTGAACTTAAGGTACCCCTGTTTCACTGCACCACATTATGGGTTGCTGGGGGATTAACCAAGGGCTTCAGGAATGCACCACCTGAGATACATTACCAGCCTTTTTTTGTAAATAGAAAATCAAACAGATTAACACTATTACATGTTTAAGGTAAAAATTTAGGTATTCCAAAAACTTAAGTTTTTCTACATATAAAATCTTATTTCTAAGGAAAATCAATAATTTGTTCTTTCCTGTTTGCATAGAAATTGAGTTTATTCTTGAAAGTGGTTTGTTCATAATGAATGAGCAAAGCTGATTTGTAAAATGTTATGCAAGCTAATCATACGTTCAAAGTTGAACAGAGATGGAAATATGCCAAGAGACATTTTCCCTCTTAATTTAATCTTTAAAGAGTGTCCAGTTAAAAATGAAACACATTAGAACTTTCCAAATGTTTGACTACTTTCCCCATGAAAAATATGAATTACAATATTATGCTAAGATTTTTTTCAAAGAACATTGAATCACTTTAATTCCTTAAGTTAATTTGTCCAATTTAAAGTATTAGTAGTGCTTGTGGAATTAAGGACTATTCAATCAAGTAATATTCTAGTTTAAACTCTGATATTATTTAAAAGTTCTTAGGTTACAAAGTCATTGAGAAAAAAGTGGGTATGTATGTATGTGTACCTGTGCACACTTGTCAGGCATGAATATGGAGGATCTAGGACAACTTTGTTTCTCTCTTTCCATCTTTAAGTATATTCCTGGGATTAAACTCAGGTCTGTAAGCTTTTGCAGAAAGAATGTTTAGTTTCTGAGCCCTCACTGGCCCCAAAGTTCTTTTTGTACATTTTTATCTAACGAGATAGCTTTGTTTTTTCTCTTTGTGTTTTAAAGCTCTCTCTCTCTCCTCTCTCCTCCTCTTCCTCTCTGAACATGCACATGTATGGAGAATACAGGAAAACCTTGATGCTGGTCCTCACTGTGGTCCTCTTTAAGCCATTCTCTTGCTTGCTGCTTCGTATGCCAGGCTAGGGAGATTGTAGACTCCGGATTTGAACTCAGGTCTTCCTCCTGTGTGGCAAGTGCTTTACCCATTACCTATGCCTCCTGCCTCTGTGCTGTTGTCTTTTAGATGCTGTCAGTGTGAGATGCTTGGTGACAGGGATAGCTGCTCTGGCTTCAGGGTTTCTGTTCTGCTGCATATAGCGACAAACGGTGCACACATTAAGCCATGGGCCCTCAGCTTTCTACTGCATGTGGCACATATTTGTAACAAGGTGTTTCTTTGCCTTTTCAAATACATAGATTGTTTTCCATTCCTTTGGCTATGGCCATTTTTAATTATTTTGAGATGAACCATTTTATGTATTGTTTTTTTCCGTTCTCTTGCCAAGTGTTGGGCTGGCAGCTGTGTCCCAGCATGCCCAGCTCATTATTGTCCATCATATCTGCTGAACCTTTTCCCTGCTGGTGACTAGACTCTCGTTTCTCTTTTTGGCTCTTCCTTCTTCAGGTAGGAAGGCAGATTTGAAGGTAGTACTGGTGCATAGTTATTTTTTTCCCCTTTGCTGAAGGTTTTTCCTCCTTCCCTCCCTCCCTCCCTCCCTCCATTCCTTTTTTCTTTTCTGTTGGAAGCCTAATGAAAAGATGGGGAAAGGGGGAACGTTGAAATAAAGTCAGTAGAAGTTTCAGGACTTCTCAAGAAAAACAATTCAGAAAAAAAAAAATGTCAGTGCAACACTAAAGGACGAAAAAGGATTTTTCTTCTTGGCGTGTACAAAGAGTGGGCCCAAATTTGAAACCTCCACTCTCCTTGTGTCTTCCATCTGCCATTACTGATCCATTTGCCCATCCGTCTTATGTCTGTTGTCTCTGACTGAAGTCTGTCCCTAACAAAGGGCTTTGCTCAATATTTATTGAATAGCACAGAAAACATGGAATGGGAAAGAAATAAGGAATGCTTCTTTACAGAAAATTTTAGCAGAATCTTACAAGGAAAGGAGTTACTTTACTGACCCCCAAATGACCCAGAGTAGTACTAAAACCACAGAGATGTTGCTACATGATGTCCACATGTTGCTTCCGTATGGCAGATACTTGATTTCTTTAAAATT